GATGAGTTTTCTGTAATGAGGTGATAGCACGAAATTGCACATGTCTATTCAGTCAGATTAATGTTGTAAATTTGGCTGTGTTCTCCCAAAAAAATTATCACGATAATGCACCGATTGTTTCAGAACATCTAACTTGAATATTAGGTAGGCCATAAAATTTCTCAAGAAACTTTCAGTTGGTGCAATAGGCCATTGTTTGCCCAAGTATACCTATTCTGTGTTGGAAAAACACAAATAAGCACCATTCTCAAAATGGTAAAGGTGACTTATATTTTTTAAGTTTCCCTATTATAGAGCCGTGTTTGGACTTGAAAGACATGTATCAAAATAATGCATCAAGTGTGTATATACTGTCAAACAGGGTAATAAGGGATGGTTTGGACTTTAGAGCGTTTTTCCTTAATAACTTCTTGCCATGAAACATTTCATAAAGAAGTTTGGGTTCATTTTAAAGGTATTTGCAAGGGCTATTTTATGGCATCTCTGAAAAAATTCCATATGATATTCGTAAGGTGCCAGACGCAAAATAAAAGCTTCCTGAACTAACCCTGGGAATGGGGTAACACTTGCAATAAACTCCATTTTAAAACGTTGGAAGCATGCAGAGTGTGCTAGCCCATTACTAACAGTACTCTGAAGTCTTCCTCTTCCTTTGTAGATGATGTAGATGTAGAAGAAATGAAATTTCTGTGATTTTTACTTGTTTTTCCTTTATTAATATGATATTACCTAATTCATGGGTAGCATCAAGGCCATTGAGCCTTGACAATAAGCTTGTCCATTACTAGCTTCATATTAGCAGCCATATAGCATTTCTTCTGTACGTAAGCTTACAGGACAGCTTGTAATTTTGCACCATTTTAATCGTGTCAAGTGAATTCACTATAACAAAAAAAGATTGTAAAAAACCATAGGTACCTGAAACACAAAAGAATATTTTAGTTACAACCATCATATTTTTCAAGAAAAAAAGCATAGTTTAGGTTAATTACTTTTCATTCTATGTTGCCTGGTGAACAATTCTATCTATGACATTCTATGCACAGTTTGGTGATGACTGATGATGCACTAATTTTTTTGCCAAGTGTAATTTTTCCACTGAGCGATATAAATCTAATCAAAATTTTTTGTTGGTAATTGATTTTTTTGTTAACTGGAGCCATTGCTAACCAAGGCTCTACTGTAAATGCATTTTTAGGGGTGTCCCTCATTACCCCAGGGGGTGCCTCCTATAACCGTGTCATGCAGAAATGGCCCCAATTTTTTTCTGGAATGAGACATGCTTATTCCATCAATCACATTTTTAAGCCAACACCTGTGTGCAACTTTTATGTAAGTAAATTTTTTCAATGCGACAAATATTTTTTCTGCTACAGACCTTAGCAGAGGTACTTTTCCAAAATCTCATTTTCACACTTTTTTCAGGGATTTTTTAGAGGTAATAAATGTATGATTTCTCAACTTGGTTTTTGCTGCATAGATAGTAAAAATGTTGAACTTTACGCCACTATTTTTAGTGTTGCAATATTTTCAATAGTTTAGCAGCTACAACATTTCTACAAAATGGTATAAGACTGTCCCTTATTACCCGCCTGTCCCATATTACCCCGCCTGTCCCATATTACCCCCGCCCGTCCCTTATTACCCCATTTGATGGTACATTTGTCTTCAATTATGAGTCGTGAATTTCCAACCATTAAAAAAATTTGTCTTGTTCTGCACCCACTGCTCAAGCTATTTGTTATTTAGATCTGTTAAATTTTCCTCGCAACATTCCCTCAATCAACTCTTAAGTCATGTATACCGTAGTGAGAGTGTTGCACCTTTCATGGAGATTTCCTGCACAGAACAGACAATCAGAAACAAATAGTTTGTGCAAACCAACTAAATTTTTTCTATAGATTGCATTGTTTCATTGCTTATCATTAATAAAAAGACACACTTTGTACTTAATTTTCACTATTGTTGGTATACATGTATTATCCATTTAACAAAACATGTAGGTATTGCAATCAAATACCCAGATCCAAGTTCTTGCTTAATCACAATGACTTGTTAGCCTATATCAAGGTTATGGGGACCCTTTGGGATATATATTGCAAATGAAATATTTTTCAAAAATTTGGTGGTAACTGGAGTTCATTGTGCAAATTGTCTGCCTGAGGAATTTACTGGGTTTTAAATTAGATGAAACCTAACATTATGAATTAAATATTTGGACAAATTTTTAGTTGCAATTTCTTCCATTACATTAAGTATTCTGTCAAGAATTGAATAGTTACATAAATTATTGGCATGTCACTAAGAAGAGCTTTTTCCTTGCAAAACCAGATTAGGTTTTTGGCTAGAAATGCTGCCAGCATTATTGAGTATATAGTATCAGAACCACTTAAGCTGTCAAGGTTTATTGCCCAGAATATTTACATTTTTCAGAGGTAGGTACTTAATGACAAGTGTTTCTAAGTAGGTACTTCTTAAGACATCAATTGCTATCCTGGTGGGCCACCAAAGATCATGAAAGATTTCTTCAGTTTTAGCATTTTGGAATGTTTGTTGCATTTATTTATCTCTGAAAATTGCTAACTCCACTTCACTCTTCAAATACAATCTTTGGCACAATATATCTGAATTGTTTGAATGTAATAGTAGGAAGGTGATATGTGCGTGTTGTTATGTGCTGTGTGCACCATGGGTCTTCATTCAAATCAAAATTGAGTATATTCAATGCTTAAGCACTTCATTTAGTTTCAGCAATTCATTGTAGTATGATTTTTATTGCAGATGTGCAATTTCACCTGATTCTAAATTTCTCAGCATTTTTTAAACTTTAATCCATGCTTCATGATTAGCAAGCATGGAGCAATTTTTGTTCAAAACATTTCCCAGAACATATTTGAAATTAAAGTGTTTAGTATAGGTAGTTCTATGTGTATTATGCGTATTAGATGTATATATTATACTTAGATTTAATAACAAAGAAACTTTTTTTGTGTATGATTTAAGATTTTTTATTTGTTCAAGGATGTCACTCGACGATATTGTAATGATTTTATATTTCTGTTGAGGTTTTTTTTGCTAGTCAAGCCTTTGATGTAATATGATCAAATCTAATTTTTGTTTAAATTACAGATCTCAGCAACGGATGACTGCGAGCATGTGCAGCGTGTGACGTCACGCCTATCCCTTCACATCAAGGCTGACAAGTCGTCAGCNTACCCCGCCTGTCCCATATTACCCCACCCGTCCCTTATTACCCCGTTTGATGGTACATTTGTCTTCAATTATGAGTCATGAATTTCCAACCATTAAAAAAATTTGTCTTGTTCTGCACCCGCTGCTCAAGCTATTTGTTATTTAGTTCTGTTAAATTTTCCTCACAACATTCCCTCAATCAACTCTTAAGTCATGTATACCATAGTGAGAGTGTTGCACCTTTCATGGAGATTTCCTGCACAGAACAGACAATCAGAAACAAATAGTTTGTGCAAACCAACAGAATTTTTTCTATAGATTGCATTGTTTCATTGCTTATCATTCAGAGCAAATTAAAAGACACACTTTGTACTTAATTTTCACTATTGTTGGTACATATGTATTACCTGGTATTTAACAAAACATGTAGGTATTGCAATCAAATAGTCACATCCAAGTTATTGCTTAAGCACGATAACTTGTTAGCATATATCAAGCTTATGGGGACCCTTTGGGATACATATTGCAAATCAAATATTTTGCAAAAATTTGGTGGTGACTGGAGTTCATTGTGCAAATTGTCTGCCTGAGGAATTTATCGGTTTTAAATTAGATGAAACCTAACATTATAAATTAAATATTTGGACAAATTTTTTGTTGCATTTGCATCCATTACATTAAGTATTCTGTCAAGAATTGAATAGTTACATAAATTACTGGCATGTCACTAAGAAGAGCTCTTTCCTTGCAAAACCAGATTAGGTTTTTGGCTAGAAATGCTGCCAGCATTATTGAGTATATAGTATCAGAACCACTTAAGCTGTCAAGGTTTATTGCCCAGAATATTTACATTTTTCAGAGGTAGGTACCGGTACTTAATGACAAGGTGTTTTTAAGTACTTCTTAAGACATCAATTGCAATCCTGGTGGGCCACCAAAGATCATGAAAGATTTGTTCAGTTTTAGCATTTTGGAATGTTTGTTGCACCATTTACTTATCTCTGAAAATTGCTAACTCAACTGCACTCTTTAATTACAATCTTTGACACAATATATCTGAATTGTTCAAATGTAATAGTGGGAAGGTGATATGTGCGTGTTGTTATGTGCTGTGTGCACCATGGGTCTTCATTCAAATCAAAATTGAGTATATTCAACGTGTAAGCAATCCATTGTAGTACCTATGATTTTTATTGCAGATGTGCAATTTCACCTGCTTCTAAATTTCTCAGCATTTTTTAAACTTTAATCCATGCTTCATGATTAGCAAGCATGGAGCAATTTTTGTTCAAAACATTTCCCAGAACATATTTGAAATTAAAGTGTTTAGTATACTTCTATGTGTATTATGCATATTAGATGTATATATTATACTTAGATTTAGGTATATATAGTACCTACCTAAATTAAATTACAACTGTAATTGAATGAGCTTCAATGAGTCTACCTGATATTGTTTCCCTGATAAATGCATTGATGAAAATCATGTTGAATTTGCCAGTTTTTTCAATAATTGAGTGCAAATATGGTAGTGGAATTTTGAAATTCCAAATTAGTTCATTCTTGGCTGAAAATATTTAATTTTTTTCATAAGATGAGGACAACCAAGTTATATTTGTAAGATTTTTTGTCCAATTATTTACCATTATTACTAGGAAGTATCATATTGTTATTATAAATATTTCTTACTAGTGAGTTTTATTTACTAGTATCTATGTGATCCATCATTATCAGATAAAATATGTAAGACTCTCATAACCTCTATGATTTGGACAGTTTTAATATTAAAATTCAATTAAATCTTACAGATGGCTCCAAAAAAGAAGCCAAAGAGAAGGAGATGCTCCTACTGCAATCTACTAGGTCACTACACGGAGGACTGCCACCAGGGAGCAGACCGCGACGTGGCTGCAATGAGCTCTGATTCCGCGACTGCAACGTCTCCGACTTCACAGATCTCTGAGGTATTATTTTTTTTATAGCGTCTACTTTATAGGCATCAGTTTGATAATAGTGGTATTTTTTCACTGTTATCTATAATAGTATCTTTGTCGATCATATTTGCATTTGCTTGTTATTTAATTTGAAGTAAACAAATTCTCTTGATTCACAGAGCCCGTCAAGAGATGGCCCGACGTCTGGCCAGTGCATGATGATGAACACCTCAGCGCATGGCAAGGCAGGCTGCTCTTCACATGAGGAAGACGTGGCTGTGCCCTCAACCTCGGCAGTGAGAGATTTGCCATTGTTGAATGCTACGAATGATCAATTATAGCAGCTGTTACATTAAATGAAATTATGATTGGAAAACTATGTCCCTTGAATTATTTGAAATTTGATATGATAGATGTTAGGTATATTCTTAATATTTGTGTGTAGTTTGTACTGTTATTTAATCGGTAATTTTCAGGATGGTCATGGCAACTGTTGATTTAGTATTCTCATGGGCTTATTTCGTTATTACTTCACTCATTGCTTTTCTTGTGGCAATTTCACCTTTCGCTGGTCGGATTAATTTTTGCACTACCCAATTTCGTACCAAATTATTAGGCCGTTGGCCTGTCGCTGATTCTTAACATCACAGAACATTCACAAGTTGTTATGGTATCGAACAATCACCTCACTGCTCTAATTCTGTTTTGCTTAACCAACCGTCCTTCTCTCCCTTTCTGACTTGAAACTGGCGCACAGAGCTGGGATCGAACCCGCACCTCTCTGCTCCATTCTTGGTACTCTGAATTTTAACCACTGGGCCAAGTATATCTAATTTTCGTCAATACTACAGACCTCTGCAGCGGGTGATCGCGCGCATGGACAGCGTGCATCGTCCCGGAACACTGTTTATCATGAGACAGGCTACCCATCCCGAGGCGTTGACGTGTCGTACGCGGATACTGCTGGCACTTTATGCGCTAGAAGTACACATCTGTCTTTGGTGAGTTGTCTACATTGTTTATTTGTAAGCTCTATGCGCTGTTAATGAGGCATCGCGCTATGATCTTGCCGATAATAATTTACGTATTGATTTGTTAAGGCTTCACAATTAAGTACATGGAATTAAGTCAAAGTCATTTGAGATGAAACGGGATAACGTATCAGTTGAGTTTTGTATATATAAAGCAAGTTTAAATAATTACATATAATTTTTGTATCGTCATTTTAAATGTCGTTTCTACTGCTCTAACGTGTTCTACATATTTTCTGTCCCTGGTGATTTTTCATTTCGGTTATTCAATTTTTAGTTTTACATACTTTTAAAATATTATCATTGCGATTTGCAGAGTCCTCCGAAGAAGCGACTGAAGAGAGGTCATCCAGAGTTTGCAACTGTTAGTGTACCAGTAACGGCAGTGAGTATTAGATAAATTTTTTCGCAAGTTGTTATATAGTCCACAATTTTTTTGCACGGTTGGCTATGATTTATCACTTGTATGCATTCTAATTTTAATTTGTTGGGTTTTGTCTATAAGCGATATTAAATAATTTTGTCGGAAATCTCTAATCCGAATTATTTATTTGCAAAAAATTTTCATCAAATAATAATTGACTTATGCAGAGTCCTCCCAAGAAGAGACTGAAGAAGGGTTGTCCAGAAGAAAATTTTATTTTTCGGAGGATGGGTTATCTTCCACCGAATTTTTTACCCAATTAACTGGTTTTATTTCACTGTCAGTCGGCATTTTCAGTTATTTTCAATTCAGTTTTTTCAAATATCCGTTATGAAGTATGACACTTTTTTTCAAACAATAATCTCATTTTTTCGTGGTGGTTGTAAAAATGATTCGCGTGTCATCTCTCATGTAATATAAAGAAAACTAATTTTTATCAATATTTCNGTAAAAATGATTCGCGTGTCATCTCTCATGTAATATAAAGAAAACTAATTTTCATCAATATTTCAGACTACCGCGGATGACTCTGTGTCTGGACAGCGTGCTACGGGCCGCGCTTCCGTTCGTACCGAGGCAGGCTGCTCATCTCGGGAAGTTGATCCGTTGCCCGCAGATTCTATCGGACCTTCGGGCTCGACGAGTACAGATCTGACTATGGTGAGTTACCTAAATGCTATATGAGTTATGAATTGGTCAACACGTCAAGCGGCTCACGCTGATTTTTTTTATTGTAGTTACGTCGTCATGGTAAATCGGTAAATTTTCCGAAAGGGAATTTTCCGAAAGGGAATTTTCCGAAATTTCCGAAAGGGAATCTTTTTATATTATTTGAACAAATCTACTCTCCTTTTAGCAGAGAAAATTTATTATATGTAGAAAATTCTTGTCTAAAAGCTTTTTATCACTTACGACATGTTTAATCTGCTTCATATATCCTCAGTAAAGAAAAAAAACGATTATTTACTTTTGTGATCGTGCAACAATCAAGTAAATTTTCTTCACAAAGTTTCACGCCTGTTCCGTGAGATCCATCGCTACGGTGCCGAAACTTGTTTATCGTATTATACCTGCATACATGGTAAGTAGCGTAGTCTTTTGGTGCAACATTTAGTGAGTTTATCGAGTTTCTGCTACTTTTTAAGTGTGAGCTAGAACATTTTGAGTGAAATTGGTTATGAGATATATCTCTGCGGGTATCGAATTTTCCATCAGAAATGGAGCTAGTATGGTCAGTTGTATTGATTGAATCATCATTTTCCGCTTCATTGCGATTCCAGTGAGTGAAAGTGATTAATCAAATGTTCGGATTGTAACTTGCTTTTCAACTTTTTTCAAACTTTTTTTAGGTTGAGTGGTCATGTCTTTGATCATACATCATAATTGATTACGGTCTCAAGCAGCATCATATTTTTCGATGCAGAGCTTCATCGACAGCACATTTCGGCACAGTTATTGGTTCCCTAAAATATATTCTCATTTCAATCGTATTTTTATTTAACCAAGTGTTTCACGCCATCTATTTGCCGATGAATCAACCAGCCGCCACCATCACTGCTCTCAGAGTTGATAAAATTGGGACATCGGTACAACGTGAGAGGATGGTCACGGGCAGAGCATCTAGTATCTTATATATTATGCCATAGTTACTGAGAACGTTAAGGATATCGATAAATATCCGGTCAAAATACATTTAGACACATGCTAGGTATTTGGTTAAAGTCTGGGTTCTCCTATCGTGTTCTTTCCTGATGGCAGCGGTTTGGCAGTGATTACCTGCGGCATCATTTTTATACGCTAATGGTGAAATTTGTGCTACAATTTCATCAGTGAATTTGTTTATTGATGAGTTTGAAATTAAAGTTATTGGAATAGAAATCAATTTTATATTTGCCTTGTTGAATAATCAACAAATATTTCGCTCGTTCTGCAGATAACGGTCATGTAATGATTAATGAATGATTCATGGAAAAGAACACAGTGATTGAAATGATGGAACCTGTGGAAGACGTTAATTATTAAGCGGAATTATTGAACATGTTCATACATTTTGGTACGTGAATCAGGGAGCTGCATTAGTTATGTCATAGAAATCCTCATCAGGCATCGAATAAAGCATTGCTAGACAACCTGTGGCCTGGAGGCGGAATAACATTCTCCCATAATATGGAGTCGTTGTTACGTGTAATCTGTTCTCGACCAATCGCGTGTCTTCACCAGGCGCCCTGGCGAAATATTCATTTCAATTAACTTTTAGCATTACGAACAGTGACCTGGATTCACTTCCATACTCGGGGACCTGGATTCCATCGACGTAGGCAAATGAAAAAACTTGAGCTAATTGATGTCATATATGACTGTAATCCTAGGCTCCACATTTCTTTCAGTTAAATATGCTCAAGTCATTTCCAAGTATCGTTTATGGAATCGTCTATGGTCTAGTTGTTATAAAACATCATTACATTATAATACACCTTAATTTCTGTTTCATATAGTATATGTCTCTCGAATTGAAACATTTGGCAAATCAAACGGTGAAAATGAGCATTTTCTCTATTCATTTCAACTGCAATTTTTCGAAAATCTTCATCCAGAGTGCTAAATGTATAAACTTTATTTTATTCGAGTCCACGCCTTTTTTTTATTCATATGTGCTTCTAAATCATTTATTCCATGCAGTGTGCGTAGCGCGCATATAGCTTCAGATGCTCTAAAAGATCATATAATTAATAGACGATATAAGGCATAGGCTGACGGTGCTCAAATATGCACACGCATTCGTCTCCAGTTTTGCTTTACGGTTCAACTCAATAAGTGTTGCATATTGCACAGTCTGAATTTCAGATAGCGACGCCATTGCGCTTGGTTGCTATTTGTGATAGTTTATATTGTTTTGTTCTGGTTGACCTCGATCAAGCGTAAGTAATTGTCCAGAGTTAAATATGAATTATATTTTCTATTCCATAGAGGTGATCTTCGTTTCCATTTATCAAGTTCTCTTATCTCTCCAGTTGCAAACATGACCGCAGACAATTTAACTGCGAAGCAATTATAAGATGTTCCTATCATAGTCTATAGAGTATAGACCTTACTATTTTATGGGTTATTGTAATTTGTAACCACTAACCACATGACTTTGTGGAAAAATTTTGGAATAAATTATTATTCAAGTAATTACTTATTTATTAAAATCATTCATTGTTCCAAGTCCTGCTAGGTAACTGCTTTGCATTTGCAACTGTAACAATCTCAATCATTTTTTACTGAATTACTGTCGTATTAAAAGGATAACATTAATCAATGATTTGTATGTGACTCCCATATTTTCATAAATATGAATGGCGGAGTGAAAATTCATTCAAGTTATCGCTCAATAAATTTCCATTCAACCACTTTCGATCCTGGACCTTAATTAATGCTTGTTTCAATTATGTCTGTAAAATATTTCTGCAGTTTTTTATAATTTGCTAACATACCTCTGCGCCAAACCCTGCAAATAGGAAAATTTGGTGAAAGCTGCCCATGAATGAGACTAAAATGTTAGACAATTTTACTTGAGTGGTTCCCATGCCTTTAAGTCTTTAACTGCTTACTAATGCATGCAAAAATTCAGAAAATAGCATTTATGCAAACCCAATTTATAGTCATGTGAAAGATGAACATTTTCTGTCACAGTCACCTGAAAGATAAAAATTTGTAGATAATTTTGCCCAGAATTCTAGATTGGCATTTGAGCAAGTACAAGCCTTGCTCTGAGCAACCATAGTGGAAGAATTTCCTTCATTTTAAAATTTGCTGAAGATGAAAATGCATCTTAGTTTGAATTTCTCTTGCTTATAAGGTCTGGAAAAATTTTATAAATTAGAGAATAGGGTTTATTCTCTAGTGGGTATACTTTCAGACATTCAGAGTTTGTTAGTATCATGATTTTGCTAGAATTTTTTATTTTGGGTATGAATTAAAATTTCAATTTAAAAAATTAAACTAAATAGATATGGTGCAGTTGCAATTTGCAATCCATTCCCTTTTTCTGTTACTGTTTCATGCAGCTAAGCACCTTTAGGCATTGTAAAATACCTATTTTGTGAGCTACAAGAAGAGCCTTCCTTCCATCTTTGGAGCTGTTAAATTCCCATTTAGTTGTCTATCTGATTGAAAAAGAGCACAAGATCAAACCACAACTCTTTGACATCCTAAATTCATTGCCAGCACTTGAAAGCCTTACGATTCAACTTTGAAGCATATATTTTTCAGTTCTACACACCTTAATATGTATATCCATTTTAATTTATGGTCTTTTTTATTCATTTTCTGAGTTTCATTCATTATAGAATTTCAATCATTTAGATGTCAATATTTTTTATACATCACACAACAGCAGCAAGGAATCATATTGAGGTGCAGTTTTAAAGACTTATTCCATTCAGAAAAATTATCAAATTGGATGTAGTTATTTAATCACTATAAAATTAAAAAATTGCCTCTGGTATCTAAAACTCTTTGGATAGATAATACACTAGGTCCATACAACTAATATTATTGGCAATGAATAACAAAATTTTGTTGATGCTGGATTGATTGTACAAACCACTGTAGTCTTGAGACTATTTGTGCTGGTAAATGTTATGAAACAAGCGCTATTCTCAAGACAGTATTGGTGATTTAAGTTAGAATACCTGTAGGTTAGTTTTAAATTAGACTCTCATATCAGAAAGATTTATTATATGGGTTCATGAGAGGCATATTTTAAGGTCTGAGTTTATGTAAAATTGATTGAATTAATTATCTTGAATGATTATTATCTACTTTATAATTTGGCAGTATCAATTTCTACCCATTTGCTTTTTGAAGCAGCCACTAGCACCTCGGTATTTGGGGGGTTTACAAATCGGTAGGCAATCTTTATTATCCTTCTGTCCAATGAAGTATGATTTATTGATCAGATTTCAGCTGGCATGCAATGACTTGAATTATTACATTTAATCTTTGATTACATTGAATAGATGGAATTGAGTGTAGTGTTGAAACTTGAATCAAGACTACATATACAAAAAGTTGGTCTACGCCTTCCTCATGATTGATTAGCAATGAGTTTCCTAACTTGATAAGCTATTTCATTCTCATGGCTTATTCTGTGTCTGAAATCATCACTTGCTTTGTTATTGTTAAATTAAAATTATTTCCATGTAAGTTCCCAACTAAAGTGTGGTGTTGAGAATATGCACTTCACCTTGCTCTCTGTGATCATCTAAGTTAGTAAAAATGCATTAGAACTTGTATCATTCAAAATGGAAAAACATGCAAAAAATTAAGTAATAAATATAAATTAATTAGCCAATTATAAAAATTGGATGTATGCTGGTCTCATGGTCCAAATTTGTTCAACTACATAGGCAGCATGTATAAACCAAAAATGTTAATAGTCCAACTCTGTTTACTGGTTGCATAAATTTAAAGCTTTTAAAAATGAAGATCAAATCAATTGCGGTATTAGTTTCAATAAAATGCTTAACATTGTAAGTCAACTAAATATTATTCAATGTATTACAGCAATGAAATGCTACTGTGCACTACTGCCACCAACTCTGCACAGCAATAAAGTACAGTTGGTTCAGTCATTTGAAAGATTATCAATAATAACATATTTCTTGGACACATGAAACTGCTGGTGATGACGTTTGATGACCTAAAGCATGCACTGCTTTTGTTCCTTTTGGTTAGTCAACAAGTAATTGAAGTTTGTAAACAAAAAAATAGCACATTCAGTAGCGTCATTGACAATTTTCAGCTTCTGCACTTCTTGGCAACTGATGCAAGACTGTTTAATGCTGTTCCAGGTGTAAGGCTCTTACTGTAGGAAGTCAGTTTCAATTTTCATTGCCTCAAAAAACTTGTGTTAGTTGAGACAAAGTTTGACAGAGTCAACTCAGACTCAGTTCCATCATCCAGAGATTCAACTCCAGTTGCAGGAGGGGTTTCACCAGTTACTATTTTGCCCTTTTCTGTATCATTAACTTCTAAATTAAAGAAAGCACAAGAGTTTCACTAGAGTACCATAAATGGTGCATGAATATCTTGGTGGCTAAACTGATAATTTATTTACCACTGTTCCATAAGCAACAAAATCTTTGATTGACTGCAGATCATTTCATGGAGGAATTGCAGCAGACATGCATGTGTACCATGCTTTAAGACACAGCTTCACAGTAAATGCATTAAAATGTTGAAGCCCTTTGAATTCAGACCGTGTATGATGAAACTGGGATTGAAATGGGTTAATATTCAATCTATATTATTTTTTTGCCACCTAACGGGCTCTGTTATAGGCACCTAGAGCATTAATGTGAACATCATTTGGCTCTTTACCTAGAAATATCAGAGCCAAATATAATAATTCTTTATAGTCATCTCTTCCCTGGATTATCTGAAGCTGGTTTTGACAGAACTCTATAATAGATTTAGTTTATGGTTTCAGAATGGCTGAAACTGTTCATCATTTACACTACTTTCAGGTTTTCTATTTGTCTACTTGACTCCGTGATTGTGAGAACTGCTCAAACAACTTGATACTTGGACCACTGGAGCATCTTGTTAACAGATTGAAAATAGTAGCTATTATCAGTTGAAGAACGTGATGCCTGTATGCTAAACTAATAATTGGCATCTGCAGCTTCTGTTGCATAGTAAGGAACATGTTCCAGCTTTTGTGCTAGTGTTGCTGGAAGTGGTGTCAAATCACTTCTGACTTCTGCTCATCTTCATATATCCTTCATTTTTCTGCCTTTTGGTCTCCACTGTCATTTTTTATCAAATCCATGAAGCACCATATCAAATCCACTGAAACTTCCATGTCATCCACCATATCAAACTTCCACTTTGTGCAAGCAAGAAATTTCAGTCTTCTGGAATCTTGACTAAATTTAGTGCACCTGCATGTGCAACATTGAAGAGGTCATTAAGTTTTGAGCTAAATTTATTCTATTTCAGCCCTTGACTTTCTGTACATCTACTTCCTACTTTTTTAGACCCCGTCATTGCTTGTGCTGCTCTTTTATCTTATTAATGATATGATAAAGTTGGTTAGTGGGAATTCTTGCTTTTGCCCCAAATTTAATTAATTCTTGAGCAGTAGTGGCAGCACTTTCTTGAATAGTTCTCTCATCTAGTATGCGTAGGTGAAAGAATGTGCTTGGAACCTGACGATTTAATGTTAGCTTGGACCCTGTGATACTTTGAGATGTGCCTACAATCAGCCAAGTTCCATGAGTAGGTGTAATTGAATTAGTAGTTGGAATAGAGTTTTGCAATAAGCAGATATATTTAGTCACCTGTGTCAAAGAAATATGGATATATTGATCCCATAATAAAGAGGATGAAGTATGATGATTGCCAAGTGTATGATTGCCAAGTGTGAGCAATAACACGTGTTAGGCTATTTGATTATGTTAAATGTATGGACATAGGTATTTGTACTTGGAAGATAAGAATCAAAATAAATCATCATGAGTCATCTATACTTCTATCTTCAATTATGGATCATGAATTCCCAGCCTTTGAAAAAATTTGTCTTGTTCTGCACCCACTGCACAAGCTATTTGTCATTTAATGTTGTAAAATTTTCCTCGCAACATTCCTTCAATCAATTCTTTGAGTCATAGTGAGACTGTTGTACCCTTCATGGAGATTTACTGCACAGAACTGACAATAAGAAACAAATAGTTATGTAAACCTACTAGATTTTTGTCTATAGATTGTATTGATTCAGCTCTCATCATTCAGAGCAGATTAATATACACTTGGTACCTAATTTAAATAAATGTTTCAACAAAACATGTATTATTTAATCAAATATGTATTGCTATACTTGTTATCATATACCATAGAACTTGTTAGCATATACCATGGTTATGGGACCCTTTTGGATAAATGTTGCAAATAAATTGTTTCACAAAAAATTGGTGATGATTGGAGTTAATGTTAAATGTTTTGAGTTGCAACCTGCAAAACAGGAGTTTATTTGCAGATTCTCTGATCAATGAATTTATCCGGTTTTAAATTGAATGAAACCTAACATTATGAATTAATTGGGTAAATTTTTCTAGCATTTCCATTCATTGTATTAAACAAATCAAGAATTGAATACTAAAATGAATTACTGGCATGTCACTAAGAAGAGCTTGTTCATTGCATCACCAAGAATAAATTTTTTGACTAGAAATGCTGCCAGCATTATTGAGGATGTTACCAGCTGTTGAGATTTATTGCATTATTGTATTTAAAGGCAAGTGTTTTCAAGTATTTTTGATGTCATCATCAATTGCAATCTTGGTGTGCCAGCAAAGATCATGAAAGATTTGTTCAGTTTTAGCAATTTGGATCTATTATGCATTAATTTATCTATGAAAAATCTAAGATTCTAACTCAAATTCACTGCCATCATACTTGTGTTTAGGTATGTTGTGCCACATTCACTAGACCATCTTTAATATGTAATTTTTTCACACAACATGTCTGAACAGTTCAAATGCCATAACAGGAAGATGAAATGCTGGTGTAGCATATGGCGTGTGCACCATGGGTCCTCATGCAAACTAAAAAAGAATGCTGACTTGTATGTTTTAATAATTGACGTATATTTGAAGAATTTTTAACAACAAGTATTCACGCTTTGTAGCTAGTTTTTTGGGTTTGTGCAATTCACCATAGTATGATTTTGATGGTAGATGGACAATTTCTCCTGCTTCAAATTTTTGAGGAATTTTTAAATCTTGTTCCATGCTTCATGATCAGCAGGCATGGAGCAATATTGTGCAAAAATTTCCCAAAAGATGTGTTTGATAAATTAAAGCGCTTAGTATACCATCAAACGGGGTAATAAGGGATGGTTTTAGCGTTTTATGTTAATAACTTCTTGCCATGAAACATTTCATAAACAAGTTTGGGCTCATTTTAAAGGTCTTTGCAAGCGCTATCATATGGCATCTCCAAAAAATTCCATATGCTATTTGTAAGGTGCTAGACGCAATATAAAAGCCTTCTGAATTAATCTGGAAACGGGGTAATAAGGGATTCCTGAAATAAAACTCAATTTTAAAACGTTTGAAGCATGCAGAGTGCACTCATGCATTACTAACAGTACTTTGAAGTCTTCATCATCCTTTGTAGATGTAGATGTAGAATTATAGAATAAATGACATTTTTTGAGATTTTTATTTGTTTTTTCTTTATTGATATGGTATTACCTTATCCATACATACCTGCTATATTATTAATGTGATATTACTGTATCCATGGACATGCCATTGAACATTGACAATGACCTTGTCCACTGCAAGTTTCATATCAGTAGCCATATAGCATTTCTTCAGTATCTGTAAGCTTACAAGATGGCTTGTAATTTTGCACAATTTTAATCGAGTCAAGTGATTTTACTATAACGAAAAAGATTGTAAAAAGCATACCTGAAACAGAAATGAATATTTTAGCGACAACCATCATATTTTTTGAAGAAATAAATAATAGTTCAGGTTAATTACTCTTCATTCTTTGTTGACCAGTGCTCAATTCTATCTATGACATTCTATGCACAATTTTGTGATGACTGATGCATTTATGCATTTTTGCAATTTTTTTGCAATTTTTTGTTAAGTGAATTTTTTTCACTGAGCAAGGTAAATGTAATCATAATTCTTTGTTGTTAATTGATTTTTTCATTAACTGGGGCCTTTGCTAACCAAGGTTCCACTGTAAATGCAATTTTAGGGGTGTCCCTTATTACCACAGGAGTGTCCCTTATTACCCCGTCTTTCAGAAATGGCTGTCATTTTTTTCTGGAATGAGATATGTAAATTCTGTCAATCATGTTTTTAAGCCAACACCAGTGTGCAATTTTTATGTGAATAAAATATTTCAATATGACAAATATTTGTTCTGCTACAGACCTTAGCAGAGGTACTTTTCCAAAATCTCACTTTCACACTTTTTTCAGGGATTTCTAAGAGGTAATAAATGTATGATTTCTCAACTTGTTTTATGATACATAGATAGTAAAAATGTTGAACTTTACGCCACTATTTTTTGTTTTGCAATATTTTGATTAGTTTAGCTGCTACAACATTTCTACAAAATGTTGGAGGACTGTCCCTTATTACCCCGCCCGTCCCTTATTACCCCGCCCGTCCCTTATTACCCAGCCCGTCCCTTATTACCCCGCCCGTCCCTTATTACCCCGCCCGTCCCTTATTACCCCGCCCGTCCCTTATTACCCCGCCCGTCCCTTATTACCCTGCCCGTCCCTTTGCCCGTCCCTTATTACCCCGCCCGTCCCTTATTACCCCGCCCGTCCCTTATTACCCCGCCCGTCCCTTATTGCCCCGCCTGTCATTTATTACCCCGCCCGTCCCTTATTGTCCTGTTTGACGGTACTTCTATGTGTACTCGTAAGGATGGTGGTGGATCAGTCCACCTGATAGATAGTTTGACGAGTTTACCTAATGATTTATTTCAGGAATTATGCACTCAAAATCAGGATAAAGCTGCAATTTTTTCAATGTTTGTGTTTAAATATGGTGAGGGAATTTCGGAATTTAAAATGTGCTCATAATTGGTTGAATTATTTTAAATTTTGCTTGACATGAGAACAATCGAATAAGACTTGTAAGGTTATTTTTGGGACATGTTTCATTTGAAATTATTCAGTATTCTCACTAGTATCTTAGTGTTATTATTTACCTTCCATTACTAGTGAGTTTTATTTAATAGTAAGTATCTGAACCATCATTGTCAGATTAAAATCTGTAAGACTTTCATTACCTTTAATATTTGGACAGCTTTAATATTGAAATTCTATTGAATCTTACAGATGGGCCCAAAAAAGAAGCCAAGAAGGAAGCAGTGCCTCAGCTGCGGCCAATTTGGTCACTACATGCAGGACTGCCACCAGGGAGCAGACCATGACGTGGCTGCAGTGAACTCTGAGTCAGCGCCTGGAACGCCTCAGACTTCACAGATCTCTGAGGTATTATAGTTTTTAGAGCGTCTGCTATATAGCCTTCAGTTTTATAATAGTGGTCTTTTTCACTGATATCTATAATAGTATCTGGGTCAATCATATTTGCATTCGCTTGTTATTTTCATTTGATGTAAACAAATTCTCTTTATTCACAGAGCCCGTCAAGAGATGGCCCAACGTCTGGCCAGTGCATGACGATGAACACCTCAGCGCATGGCAAGGCAGGCTGCTCTTCACGTGAGGAAGACGTGGCTGTGCCCTCAACCTCGGCAGTGAGAGATTTGCCATTGGTGAGTGCTATGAATGATCAATTACAGCAGCTGTTACATTAATTTAAATTATAATTGGATAACATGTACTTTCTTTTTTCGTAAATGTAAGATCATGTCATTAGACATACTACGTCGATAATTCTGGCATATATGTTCTTTAAATTGTTTTTTGTAATTTGAAATGTGAGATGTTATATTCCTAATTTTGTGTGTAGTTTACATTGCTTTTTAATCGGTAAATTTCAGGATGGTCATGACAACTGTTGATTTTAGGCTTATTTCGTTATTACTTCACTCTTTGCTCTTGGGGCAAATCCATTTTTGGCAGGTCAGATTAATTTTTGCATTACCCAATTTCATACCAAGTTATTATGCCGTTGGCCTGTCGCTGATTCTTAACATTACAGAACATTCACAGGTTGCTGCGGTCCGAACACTCACCTCACTGCTTTAATTTTGTTTTGCTTAACTGCCCGGCCTACGCGCCTTTTCTCACCTGAAACTGACGCACAGACCTGGGATCGGTCCCGCGCCTCTCTGCTCCAATCTTGGTACTCTGAACTTTAATCACTGGGCCAAATATATCAAATTTGTATCACTATTACAATAATCATTGACTTTTGCAGAGTCCTCCGAAGAAGAGACTAAAGAGAGGGCATCCAGAGTTTGCAATTGTTAGTGTACCAGTAATGGCGGTGAGTAATAAAATGAATTTTTCGCAAGTTATTGTATTATATTGTCCACGGTTTAGTCCATAAGTAATATTTCAATAATTTTATGAGAAATCGTCTACAGATTTTTTCCATTATATTCCTGGAAATGTCGTTACTGTTGTTACTCGAATTTTATTTTTTTTGTGCAGCAATTGTAGATATTTCTGCAAATTGGTTATTGTATAAATTTCTGCATATGTTTTTGACTTGTCAAAACTTTACTGTGACATGAAAAAATTTAAATTTTGCCAATATTACAGACGTCTGCAACGGGTACCCGCTCAAAATCGCGCACATCCGTTCACATCAAGGAAGACTGCACATCACAAGTTATTGATGCGTCGTCCACTGATGTTGGCCCTTCATGTTCGACAAGTTCAGATCTTCCTTCAGTGAGTACCAGCCATGTAATACCGTATGCTTAAGCTGTTTACGTAATTTTCCGGATCCTTTTGAGATATAGATTTCTTAGTAAAATGACCATTTATCGTTTCGTTACTTTTGAATGGGCTGACCTAGTAGTTTGTTCACAATTTAGAATAACTTTACTATATTTTCGTCTGAGTTCAGTAGTTTATTAGCAATATCCAATGTATAAATTATTAAGAGAACTTTTTCTCATGCGGCCACTAATTATTACCATCATTCAGCTAATATGTGTTCTTTGTTTTCTTGTTTTGAATGCGTCAGTTTAATCCCTTAAGATACACTCATTTTTCTTGATTTTCTTTGCTTTTGGGCATTGCGTTATTTATGCTTATACTTGTTTATTCTTATGCTATAATTAATTTTTTTATAAAATGTTCTACTTAAAACATTTAATCGGTTACTGACATATTGTACCGCAATAGAGAGTCGTCACTCGTGCGTTAGCTCGTCGTCTAGCCGAAAGTGCCGTCGCAAGTGAAACGAATTCGCCCGATAACCAAGAAACAGTTGGCGGGATTGGCATCAATGAAGAGATGGAAGTGGACGTATCAACAGATTCATCTGATGAAGAAGCGGGATGTTCATGCTGTCATCGATGTGCCACACCAAACTACCCCATTGAATTGATGAACGTGAATGTAGTCACGAGACGGTCATATGGAGATATGAACTTGCCTGATTTACCCCTCTTCTGTTGCGAATGTGCGGCATATTTAGGGACACGCGATAAAGAACCAAGTTGGGCTGTGGCTTGGCCTGCCGTTCTTTTCACTTTCTTCACGAGTGATAACCTACCATTTGATTCGCAGAAGCTTGTGGAAATATTGCCTCGAACAATCAAAGAGAGTTATAGGTTATTAGTACCAAGATTAAGTGTCGGCATGGCAGCAGTCTGGCAGTGTCCTCCAAAATGTGTTGATGCGACTCAAGAATTGCATCAATTCAAGACGGATCTCCTGAAGCATGCAGGCTTATTGGCATCAAAGTTGAATGAAACCTGCTTCCCTTCCGTCAAGTGTCCGATGGGTTGCAACACTTACATCGATGGAGATGTTGGCAAAGATGTCGATTACCTGCCTCTTCATCATTATTTGAGCTTACTATGTCCCAAATTTTCATCATTCAAATCCGATCCAAATTTCTTCAGTGGTAAGCGTCCAGATTGGCCAAGTCGGGGCAAGCACGAGGGGTTCAAATATGCTGCTACGTTAATAGTTGACTCGAAGAAAGGACTCTGTATTGTGACTTGCTCAAAGAAAATTCATGCAGATGGCAGGAGTCTGTATATTCACGTACCCTGCAACCCGGTCCTCGGTAGCACTTCTGAGCTTCGTCCAGACCTCATCGCTCCGTTATCAGCTAATCCACACTTCGTAAGAGCTGGCCGGACCAACGAATTTAACACGAGCCACGCTGTTTTCCGGGAGTACGGCGATAGTAGCGGCGCGTCGTCCTTCAGTCTAACCCCGAAGCCTTACGTTGGCGGGCCGTGCACTCTGCCGCAAATAGATTCCATGGGTCTCACTTTTAATCAAAGGCCTGATATTTATCAGTCGTTAATGGAAGGGGAAACCCTGCCTAATAATTTGCTGGAAGAGTTGAAGGATTCTTATGATAAGCAGCCTTTAGATGAAGAGACTATACGTAAAGCGAGAGAAACGGGAACCTACGTCAACGTACACGACGCATCCAATATGTTGATGAATTTCAACAGTCGTTTGGCTACTGGGCATCGAGAAGAGACCCACCAGCAATTGAAGGCCAAGGGGAAGGAGGTGCTGCAAATTGCTCATCCTGGCAATAATGTGGGGCGGTTGCCGTTCCGGTTCTCTCACTTAAGCAAACGCAATGGCACTCACCCTAATGGTTTGGTAATGCACATGATCATCAACACGCTGTTGCACAGTCGTCATCTGCACCATTTGTTTTTGTCCAAGTTGCATACTGAAGCTCCTGGTTCTATGCACCATCTTCTTCAAGCTGCCGTTCATAATGCTGCCGCAGGTTTGAAGTTGACTAACCCTCTACGGCTAGAAGAGCAATTGCTGCGGATGGCGCTGGATAAAACATTGTGCGGTGAGCAGTCGCGACCACACATATTTTGCAATGCTATTCTGTCTGATATGTGTGATGTTGAAAAAATCTCTATCCATCGCAATTTTCGAGCTTTGCAAAGGATCGCCAGCCATTCGGAGAAAGTACTTCTGGTCGACTGTTCTGCACTGAACGCGAGTGAGCCTCCTCAGTCTTTATGCAATGGCCGGTGGCAATTGATGATGGCCCAAACCTCTAATATTGACGGAAGGAATCGATACAATTTAGAGTTTGACTTTCGTTGGAGTGACGACCTCAAGTGGCAACATTGTTCTTCTGGTAAAGGCATACCAACACAAGTTGGCGATAATCCTCGCAAGAAAATGTGGAATTTTCTGCTGTACATCGAAACGGCCTCAGTTGGATGCGTGTCGAAAGTTGACTTCCTCAACTTTTCTGGCGGACAAACAAAGCTGAAATGCTCTGAACATCCAAACTACTTCATGGTGAAGGAACGGCCTGGCTCTGGTCTGAGATGCTGCTCAGCCGGGTGTCAATCAGAATCTGTTCGTTATCGATGTGGTAAGGGATTTGGACAAAATCAGATAATGTGCTGTTCAGGATTGTGTTTGAAGCATGCGAATCTCATATTAAACAGTGATGTGCCGACCACTTACGTTGATCCTCCGTTGAATGGCGTTCCTTTACCCGTGCTGGATGCTACCGACGACGAAGTGGTAGATGCTGCTGGCATGCACATCTTGGAAGACCCCCCACCTCTATTTCCAGAGGAAGTTGACGATGTTGCAGAAATTTACGCAACCCCTCTCGACAGTCTTGCTGGGCAAGTTCCGGTGGCCACCGAATACGTAGAACCTTCGTATTCTAGAGGACCAAACTCTACATCTGGCCATTTCTTGCTTAATAAGTCTCTCAATATGATGTCTAGAGTAGACATCAATCGAAAACAACCGGTCTCACAACAAAACCTACTGACACATATTCATTCAATATCTCCGGAACAGTCGTTACCTATGTTGTATTGTGAAGCGCTTTTGTTTCCGACAATCTTCTGGGCGGCTGTGGACAGGAGTGTCGTCGGAGCTCTACCATCTGTTTTTTATTCTGCCTATGGACGAAAAGCTGTTTACGGTGGCTTTGCATCGCTTGTGGATCATCTGAGAGTGAGGTTGTTTGACTCCTCTTTGCTCACCAGTCATGACCCTAATTATCTCGCTTTCTGCTTTGATGTCTATTTGAACAGTCTTTTACAGAGTAACAGCGTTTCGGTCGCTTTACGAAAGGGTTTAGAGCATGTGAACCGCGCGTACGTTGTTCCTGAACGTCAAGAATGTTCCTTAAAATTCGACGAGGCGGACAGTCGTCGAGAGGTTCAACGTTTGTCAGCAATGATGTCGGAAAATCCATGGGATTTCTTCGTTACACTGACGTGCAATGACAGCGGAACAATGGGAGTAGCACCGTTAAGAAAAGCACTCGAGGAGAGGTACCACGGCAAAGAACTCGACAAGAAACTGCAGAATGCGTGTCCACTCCTTTGTCGAGCGTGGGCTCGTTCCGTACGATACTTATTCGAATTTCTCATGCACGGCGAAGAAAAGATTTTCGGTGAGTTGAAGAACGTGTGGTACCGGTTCGAGTTTCAGAACGCCGGTAGTCCTGGTAACAAGCCGCACGTTCACGCTGGGCTCACGCTCAAGGATCGTTCTCGCAATGACAACGAGCGTTTGAAGCGTGTTCACAACAATCTACTAGACATGTTCAATGATGTCAATAGGACTGATTTTGAGAGCCTCGTGAACGATGGTCTCGTGAAGGATCGCGCCGACTTCGTTGAACTGGTTAACCTCGCAGACCGGCTTACTCAACACAATTGTTCAAAGTCTGGATTTAAATGCATGAAAATAACATCAAAAGATGGAAGTAAAAGGTGTCGCGTCCCAAGATATTTATCCAGTGCAGAACCAAAATACCTTGAGCACACGCACATGTACGACGTCGATACTCAGGAGCGTCTTATGAAACTTGGCCTCGGGAAAAGACGGTATCCTCCAGAATTAGACCACCTGACAGAGCTTCACAATGACGTAGTGGTGGAACCGACTTTGGTTGGCGGGCGTTATAATTATGCGGGTGAGCCAGGTGTGCGCCGTGTCCCCTCAAATGGCCGCATTTTCGCTATGTTGCGTTCTATGGTGAACGTGCAAGTCTGCGATTTGAAGTTTACCACTAGTTACTTGGCGAAATACGCCGCAGGTGCCGATGAGAAGCGTGAAGTTGTAATCACCTCCTCCGGCGACGATGATAATGCAGTCGATGTCGAGCCGCGCGACCTCTATCATGCCAAGATTTCTGGTTCAAAAATCGCCCAGAAAGTGAAAATGCGAGCTGAAAAGGCAAAAGAAGCTTTGTGCAGGGAAATCACCGCCCCAGAGATGATCTGGTTTACTCATCAACTCCCCTTTGTTGTCTGCTCGGCTGAATTCGTTCACTGTTCAACACATGCCCCTGAACACAGGCAAGCAGTGTATCGAAAACAAGGCGGGTACATCCAGAAATTGATAAACGAGGACGGCACCTTGAAAGCAACCACACTACGAGCTGGCTTTCCAAGTTGGCGACGTTTTACTAGGACTCAAACTCTGCTCATGAGTGAAATCGTCAACTCTCCATACTTCGTTGACAACACATCTCTCTTTAGCGTGCGGCCTCCTGAGTTGCGCAAGGTGATGAAGCTTGGCGATTATCTCAAGTGGTTCTCTTTCACTCGGGCCAAAGTTATGACGGTTTCTGAAGAAATCAGCGAGTGCCCTTGGATAGATGGGAGCGGCAAGTTAGTTCGTGTGAGGAAGAGGTATGTGGACGATGTTCGTCGTTTTTTTGAAACGTTGGCAAACCAAGCTCACCCTCTGCCTGGAACCATGGAGATGCATGGACTTTTCGAAGCTCTTCATCATGAAGTTCTTCAGGGAAGTAACTCGATTTTCGTAAACCGGTTTGTCGATATGACGGCTGACAAGGATGTGGTAGTGGTCTTTACCTGTATCGAGCCAACATCGACACACAAGTTCCTCGTTCATCTTCTGCTCACCTTGGGGTCATTTGTGACTGAACTTCAAATTTTTAGGGGTCCGACCCTGCTGCATGCTTTTCAATATGCCCAACTTATCGCCGATGTCAACAATCCGACGGAAGAAGAGGCCCTGTCTATCATCAGACTTTACGTGATGACTCAGCTGAGCTCCTTACCTTACGGCGTGAAAGCGTTTTCTCGGCATTTGGGTATAGCAATGGATGCTTTACTCAACTTTTTCTTTACAAGGGGCGTTGAGTACGTCGAAGTTCCACTTGCGTCATTGAGAGCGATCAGAGAAGATGCTACTACGAAATTACAAGAAATGGAAGCAGCAAGAGCTCAGACCTTGGCTTCTGTTCTGGAAACAACAGGCATCAAAAATTCTCCCACCGCAGCTCTTCTTAGTAGCATGAGGAAATTTGATTTTGTACCAGAAATTGAACGCCTGCCTGAACAAAGCAGATCCTCGTATGCGGAACAGTTGTTGTGCTTGCATGCTCTAGTGGATGCAATCGACCGATTTGACCGTGTCGGGCCAGTGTTTGTGCCCTGTCCGTTAATTGTTGGACCACCTGGAGCGGGAAAAACGCATCTCTTACTGACTGCTTGCGTGTACGCACTTTCAAAAGGCTTGCGTACCATCATCACCGCTGCCACTGCCGAGCGGGCCCGCAGTTTGGGCGGAGAGCATTTACACTTGTTGTTTGCTATGCCGACTGTTAAAAGCCAAATCGAATCGGTGCCTGTGACCGCGCAAAAATGCCTCTTAAACTTGTGTGCAAGCCCTGTCAAGATGGCCTACTTAAAAAGATTGGACGTGCTGGTGATAGAAGAGATTGGTCTCTTACCTGCATCCCTACTTAACATCATCGACTTTGTATTACGACAGTTACGAGAATCTGCAGCACCATTCGGAGGTGTTCTGCTGCTCTGCTGCGGTGACCCATGCCAATTGAAGCCGGTAAAGGGACGAAGCATTTGGCTTATGCCCAACCTTTTCACAATGTTCAAGGTACTCGGCTTGAAGCATTTTGTAAGGTCGAGGGGTGATCCTCAGCTCCAAACCCTTATCAAGCGCATCCGAAAGCCGAGGCTTAACGCAGGTGACGTAGAGGAGAGCCTTGCTATCATCAGAAACCGCTGTGTACCTCACCAATTCGTCAACACCTGGCAAGAAGTACCCGATGATCATCAGCGTGTGGTCGGTAAAAATTCTGCAGTCGAATACGCAGTCAGTATCTATTTGGAACAAAAGAAAGCCACGCCTGGTCTTCGTTACATCATAGAACATGCGCATGATGAAATCGAAGTCATCGGAGGCAACTGGATGAATGCTAGCGCTGCCATCAGTAAACAACTAGACAAGGAATGCAAGGAACCACATGAGATTCTTCTCTTCTGTCGCCAAATTGTAAGATTAACCTACAATAATTCAGCACCGACTGCCAGGATTCCGAAGTTCTCTCAGGGCCAATTAGCTGTGTTACTAGAGTTGCCCGACCTTAACCTTCCTCGGCATGCTCAACGGATCACCATTAAGCTGGTCCCACCGGGTGTCAGAGTGGTGTCTGTGGATGCTTTACCTAATGAGTGGCCGGTCTTCGCTATTGCACGCAGGTTCACGATCCCTCAAAAAATCCAGGTGCACATGTCTAAGGCCAGGCGCGAACAGTGGCCATTCACTTATTTTGTCTGCACCACGGTTCATCGGAGTATCGGAGAAACCCTACCAAAATTGGCAACACAGATTAGTGAAGACAATTCCATGTTCAGACTCTGGGACAAAAATCAACTCCTTGTCATCTTAAGTCGAGTTCAGTCTTTGGATGATCTGCTATTTGTTGGTAATGCTGACGACACTTTGAGGTCAATGAAGAAACTTATCGAAGTTGTGGACCCCTGGCAAGCCTTCGTCGATAAGGTCCTGACCGCTTGTGACAGCATTCGACAGGGCGATGGACTCCTACCGCAAACTGTTTCTTATCCTTCGATCCTCTCCAGTGTCCCTTCTACCGAGTCTGGATTTGTGTTTATGCTCGTAAGCTTGAAGTTTGACTCGTTTGTCATCGACAACGGACCCAGCTTAAAGGAGGCACTCAGGGAATACAATGATCCCCTGACCCGTTCGGAAACTCGTTCAAGGCGACCGTGGATTTTAGCATCGTACACCACTTGCTTCTCGGACAACACTGCGATCCTTGATTTCACTAGGGCCTGGAGAGCACGAATCCATCGTCATCACGGTCTTGAGGCAACGTGTCATCAGGCGTTAGAAACGGGCCGTCTTGTGTTTCAAGAAGAAAAACTAGTTGAAGGTCAACTAATCATGCAACAATGCGTGAAGTTGACGGCTGGTGACTTCTGAGGCTGGTGACATTGAAAGTGGCGCTGTATGAGCAGTGCAGCACGTTTGCAAACAGTGAGTATATTCGTGTATGACTTCATTAATTTTATTTTGTTTTCCAGGTCTTATTTTCTTTTTCCACGATTTCTGTTATTTTCGCTTTATCGAATACTGCATCGAATGTTTAATTGGTTGTTTTATATATCTTTTGTTTGAATATTGACTTCGAGAGAATTGTGCAATTATTTAGTATTCACAGCATTGTATCCAGCCTTGAAACCATGGAATTTTTTTTGCAGGCGTGGAGTTGTCCACGTTTCGTTTCTTGTTTTGGCTGGAGTGGAGATGTTCGTGGCTTCGTTTGTTTTCGTACCACCTGATCTTCCGACCTCTGTGGATTGCGTTACATGTGCGAGATGACGGAGAGCGTTCACTCTACAGTGAGTAGTACTTGCTTCAGATCGCTGTAATTCTTACCTCTCAAGCGATTTCCTTCTGTTGCCAAGTTTCAATAGTAATATTCTCAATTGCATTACCTTTTTTCATTACCTTTTTTATCTGCTTCATTTATTCTATTATATACCTAGTGATTTAGAGAAACCTGTGAATTGAGAACAAAACGTATAGACTGAAATTTTTTCAAAAAAGTAATTGTTCTTAATAGTTATAAGTACGCTTATTTAGTTTTATTTCTTTTGTAATATGTCACTCTATTTTGTCTAGAATATTAATTTCTAATAATATGCGTTTAAAAATTATTTTTTAAAGACAACACTTCTAAAGAATCCAGTGTCTCCGATGTTACACATGTGCAAAGAATTTCCAGTTTTATTTTCATATATTAAAAAATTAATTTTGAAAATTTCGAAATTAAAAAAAAAATTTGATACAGCGTAACAAGTGAATTCACAACAAGAAGTATAGGCTGGTATTTTTACAATAATTGCTTTTCATAGTTTTTGGTAGGCTTATTTAGTTTTATTTCATTTTGTAGTATGTCACATATTTGCTCTTGAATAATAATTTCTGGAACGTTGTAACGAGATCATTTGCTTTTTCAGGCGTGGAATTGTCGTCGCTTTTGCTACTCATCATCGCCTAATGAAAACGGGGAAAAAGCTGATGTGACGTCAACCAGGCTGCGACCTACGCGGCTGGCTTGATGTTGTCGAGCAACTTTTGATTCCTATAACACCAGATCTTGCCTCTGATGAAGATTTCGTGTGTGATGAAGATTTCGTGTGAAGATTTCGAGATGGCGAGCATGCGCTTTACAGTGAGTGAAAATTGCTTCGAATCGCTGTAATTACTGTTGTCTCTTTTTGAGCCTCAATAGCCACAGTCATTATCACGGTGTCATTGCATGCCTCCCGTTTTCTTGTCTATACTGGTACTTGATTTTTATCATGTTAGTTTTTGAATTGAGCTCTTTGGATATTTTATGAGAACACGAGTACCTGCTCCTGGTATAATTCATAACCTATTCATTTTTGTCTCGAAATAATTCGTTTCTGTAACACTTTAGCTCGACAATTTTTTTATGCAGATGTCCAGTGGTCAGCGCAACAGATAGCTCTCACATCGTCCGACGAGCTCACGGTCTGCTGAGGGACTGCGAGAGGCTGGCGTGAGAGGACCGAAATGCGCAGCTTACCGTAGTAAGTACTGGTATTATCAATTGGCTGTATTCTCCTTGCTGAAAGCAGCTGCTGTTTACAGCGGCTGCTTTCAGCTCTGCATGCTATGCGGGGCTGCGTTGAGCAGCGGGAGTAGACGACGTTGGTCGGCGGTTCGTTTTAAGGTAGGACGGTTGTTACAAAATTGTAAAAATGTCTTTTTGCATGACAAGGCTCATTTACGATCAATTTCAATGTGCAGACAACGGTTATTTTTCTAAACGTTGTTGTGTTTAGCTTTCCTGTAGTGAATAGTTTAAAAATAATTATTTCACCAAGAAATTTCTCTAATTTGCAAAATAATTTCATTCTATATTAAAAGAAATGGCTTTTACAGTTATCTGGGTGATTAATCGGCCTTGTTGGCTTCTGCGTGCGATCATGAACTGAACTGCGAGCAAAGCAACGCATCACGACGAAATCCTGGCCGGACTGGTACTTGAGTGGCCTAGTTTTGCCATTGGAAGGAGGTTCACGATCCCCCAGATGATTCATGTGCAAATGGCAAAGGCCAAGCGCGAACAGTGGCCATTCACTTACTTTGTCTGCACCACGGTTCACAAGAGCATCGGGGAAACTCTTCCTAAACTAGCTACCCAGATCAGTCAAGACAATTCAATGTTCCGTCTTTGGGACAAGAATCAACTACTCGTCATACTCAGTAGAGTTCAGTCCTTGGACGACCTGCTGTTTGTAGGTGATGTGGGCGATACTGTGAGAGCCATTCAAAAGCTATTGGAGGTCACGGATCCCTGGGATCAATACATCCACAACATCGTCAACGCCTGCGACAACATTCGCCAGGGCGATGGCGTATTAGGCGTATTTAGAACCGTGTCTTATCCCTCAATCCTCTCTTCTGTTCCTTCTACCGAGTCTGGATTTGTGTTTATGCTCGTAAGCATGAAATTCGACTCGTTCATCATCGATTCCGGACCTAGCTTGAGACGGGCGTTGAAAGATTTCAACGACCCCTTAACAAGACCAGAAAAACGTTCGAGGCAACCCTTTGTTCTAGGTGTCTATATCGCTTGCTTTTCGGACAACATTGCAATGCATGATTTTGCCATGTTGTGGCAAGGACGAATTCTGCAGCACCACGGCTTTCACGCAACGTGTTATCAGGCACTGGAAACTGGTCGTGAAGTCTTTATCGAAGAAAAAATTTCTTCACCGTCCATAAAAATGCAGGAGTGCATCGTTTTAAGGGGCGAGCTGATTGCAGACATCTAAGCTTCATCTGAGCGCTGCATGAGCAGTGCACGCGTGTATGGTTTGTGATTTTCAAGGCCCTCATTTTTTCGTTACTTACGCTGCCCCAGTGTTGTTCCCTATCGCCTGTCCGGCAATCTCTAAGCTGAAAACCATTCAGAATTCTGCTCTCCTCATAGCCACGGGTTCTTTCCAAATGGCCTCCGCTTCCCACTTGCACAGTGAAGCTGAGGTCTTACCCGTGACCGAATACGTCTCTCTGCTCTGCTCACAATACCTTGCCAGCGCCCTACGACCACACCATCCAGCTACCCTATCGTCACCCAGACATCGGGGCCCGCTCCATGAAGCACACGCTTCAGACCCGCTTCCCTCCTTCGGTCTCTTACCTGCTGGAGAAGGGGTCCCTCACCCCCGACTCTACTCTACTGCCCTCAGCATCCTGCCCTGCGGAGACGCCGCCGAGCGACTCTTCCTGACAATTAACAACACGCGTGTAAGAAGTAAGTATATTAATTAATCATTATCATTCTCAATTAATTATTATTAATTTGGTTCCGTTCCCCAGGTTTCATTATTTCATGTTCTCTTTGCTATTTCAGAAACTGTAGAGAAATGTGTGTACGTAGAGAAACCTGTGAATTAATCACTAGAAGTATGGACAGGTATTTTTTCAATAAGTGTTCTTCATAGTTTTTGGTACTCTTATTTAGTGTTATCCCTTTTTGTAGTATGTCGCTTAATTTTGTCTTGAATACTATTTGATAGAAAGTTGTAACGAATTTATTTGCTTTTTCAGGCGTTGAAAAGTCGGCGTCTTTGCTACTCATCATGGCCTGATGAACACATGACATAGCTGATGTAACGTCCACCGAGGATGGCTTGATCCCGTCGCCTACATGGCCGCCTTGATGTTGTCGAGCGGCTTTCGATTCCAACATCAACAAATCTTGACTGCTGTGAAGATTTAGTGACAAGTGCGAGACGATGGCGAGCATGCGCTTTACAGTGAGTAGTAAATAATTTGAATCGCTGTNTTGAAAAGTCGGCGTCTTTGCTACTCATCATGGCCTGATGAACACATGACATAGCTGATGTAACGTCCACCGAGGATGGCTTGATGGCGTCGCCTACGTGGCCGCCTTGATGTTGTCGAGCGGCTTTCGATTCCAACATCAACAAATCTTGCCTGCTGGGAAGATTTAGTGACAAGTGCGAGACGATGGCGAGCATGCGCTTTACAGTGAGTAGTAAATGATTTGAATCGCTGTAATTACGTCTCTCCCTTTTAAACCTCAAATAGCCAGTCATGATCTCGGTGTCAGTGCATGTTTTCAATTTTGCTGTCTATAATGGTACTCGATTATATTCATATGCGCTGTTAAATTAAGGTCTTTTGATATTTTATGACATGTCATATAACCTGCTCCTGGTATGCACTTTTGTGTCGAAATAATTCGTTTCTTTAATACTTAACACGTTGACTACGAAGTGGTACATATGTGTACCACAAAATGTATTTCTCCAGGACGTAGTGTTACATAATCCAGGTTGCCTAAAATTGGCCAAATCCGAGAATAAAAAAGGCCAAAAAAGGCCGATATCAAAATGTACTAGTTTATNTATATATTGAAAACTTTCGGAGACCATTTTGATTTTTTGTTGTGTTGCCATCAGGTTTGTAACGGCCACATCGCCGGCTGCAGCGACGGCTTTGACGAACACAACTGTTCAAACTTCACGTGTCCACCTGAGCGGAACTTGAAGTGCAACAACGGCCACTGCATTGACGGGGTATTTTTCACTGGTCATAAATTTTGAATGGTATCAAATTTATATTGAAATTTATATTTAGGCTGACATTTAGTGATGAAACGAAAGAATCAATGTCGGTATGAATTCATTTATTGAATATTTGAGAGAAATCTTCAGATGTGGTTTAGATGACCGCTCATGCGGTTTAGTGGAGGTATTGCACGAGATTATTATACTGCATGACGCCATTAAAATTCACCAACCTGTCTTTTATATCATTTTTTAGGTATTTCATAAGTATTTTTAGATAAATTTTGTCATGCGTCCTAGTAGTTTATTAGCATTTTATCTCTGTCTCGGATTTTGATGCAGTTGTTAAGTAATTCAAGAGTATTCTAATACCACTCTCGCCTACTGTTTCAGGTGGTTGGTATGTAACCGTGGTGACGACTGTGGTGACGCGACCGACGAGCTGGACTGCTCCCATACCGAAGCCCCTCTGCGTCCCAGCTCCTACAGACCCCCCACCATAGCCATCCCACCGCCGCCCTCTTCCTCAGCAATCCCGTGCTCTGAGGAACAGTTCACCTGCAGGAGTGGAGCGTGCATTTCTTTAGACAGGGTCAGTATTATCAATATATGATTTCTTTGTTTATTCTTCTTCTTACTCAATTCATTCGTGAATATCCTATATTGTTCTACCGTCTGTTCATCCAATGTCAAATGCTTAAATACCTTCATTTTAGAACGTCCAGAAGGACTAATTGGTGTTTGAACGAAAAAATCAATAAGTCGCGTGGAAAATTCGATAGAAATTCTTTAAATTGACCAATCGTTAGTTCAGATTATTCGTTCTGTTTGTAGCGGTAACTCGTTAAAACCGTCCGGTGAAGCAAGGATCTAGCCTCAGATATCTCACGTCTTGTCCAACCGGCGACATCACTCTGAAGCCATATGTCTTTCTTTTTTTTCGTATGAATCCTCTGAATTCATTGAGAGTTCCATACATTTTCTCCCCGTTAGTTTCATATCAGGCCTGTGACGACGCATAGAGTGCCAGATGTCGATGGCACTAGCTAAAGAAAGTCTACTTAGCACGTTGACTCTGAAGTTGTACATATGCGTACCACAAAATGTATTTCTCCAGGACGCAGTGGTACATAATTCAGGTTGCCGAAAATCGGACAAATCCGAGAACAAAAAAGGCCAAAAAGGCCGATAACTCATTATATACTAGTTTATTTGTAGGTTCCGCTATAAAAATTCTATTTATTTTCTATTTGTAGTATTTAAAATTTAATTAGGAAGTACCCCTATCATAAATTTTAGCCGGCCAACGCAATTGAGAAAAACGAAATAACGGAATTTGTCCGGAAAAAAATGACCGCCTGGCAAAACTGTTTAAGGATTATTCAAGGGTTTGAGCTATACTTCCTGTGAATATCATTTGTAATTCAGAATTTTCCTTGTTATTTGAAATAATAGATGGCTAACATTACCTTTTTTGACAGCATTTGTTTGTGAAACATTTCAATAAGACCATTTTTTTGTGCAGATTTCGAGTTGGCGGTTCGGTCTTCGAGGCTTTGTCGGGTTGTGGACGCGGTCTGCGAGGCCTGCCTAAGGGCGCAACTTGTAGTGAGTACTAGTAGAATTCAAACTATAGAACTCTCGAGCTGGAAGCAGCTGCTCTTAGCAGCTGCTTCCAGCTCTGCACGCCGCAGGCGCTACCCTGCGTTAAGCAGCAGGTAGTAAGTGACGGTAGTAAGTGACGCAGGTCGCCCGCTCGTTGGAAGCTAGGACAGGTTGTTTTATACATATATATATTGAAATATGGATAGTGTTTTACACTTATACTAGCTGATTACTAGCTTTAATGAGTTTATTGTTCAATTTTTAGTAATGAATTTGTACTCAATAATAAAAGCGTATGCTTCTGCAGGGTTATCTCGGTGATCTCGCTTTTCTTGTGATTCACCTTGGAAGTAACAGCCGAGTGTGTCAGATGAAACAGCGCAGCGTGATGTGCGGCCTTTTCCGGTGCCGCAGCGGTCTCAAGTGGACAATTTTCAGCGGGAGGAGTGAAGAAACGAAAGTTGGATGACGCTGCGGTCAGATTGGCCACGAGGTCAGCTTGGCGGTCTGCTCAAAACTGATGGCAAGAAAAAAGGCAAAATGTAGGGAGAACAAACTGAGGTGTGAATGATAGTGTACGAGTCCGGAACTTTTCCTGCCAGAGATCACGATGCAAGGAAGCGGCTTTGTGAAAACTAAGTATTGGCCACACACCTTTCAACCATGTATACTTTATAGATTGCTGCTCCCATACGGCAAAGATTGCTTGGTACACTCGACAGTGTCATAGCAGACTGGCTCAACTACAGCACCGACTACATGAACTGCTCCGCAGATACGCCCCTACTAATTCAGAGGAAATCCTTCACTAGGATTTCAAAAGAAGTTTTCCGAATAGGAGAGAAACGTATGGCTACCACCATTCTGCCGCCCGGGTGGGCCAGAACACAAGCCTGAAACAGACGACGAATTTTGTGTGTAGACGTGCGAGTATGCTGGTAACTATCCAGCTGTGTATATGAAATGGTTGTAACATTCTCAATGGGAATATCAATGCCTGAGAAAAACATTTTTTATTGATACTGTAGATATATCAATGCGATATAAAGGCCTTTTTTGGATTTAGTTGTTCATTGTGTGTCGTTAGATATGACCAGCGAAAGCAGTGAGCTAGCAACGCTCTAGTGCATCCTGAGATATTGTAAAGTTTTGCTTTTTAACTGATGTTGTGGTTGTGCGATGACTTTTGGATAGCATAATTAAGTGAATTTAGTTCGTTGAATATTGATTTTTGATTGCAAGCTTAGTTAATATGTGATCTTAATTTTTTCATGCTAGGTTTAGTTACCTAGAGACGCCGGTTTAAACGTGTATATAATATACCGTATTATATAGTGTATAATATACCGTGGAAATGTTATGATGTATACATTTGGAGGGAATGTTGTAGATTTGGTGAGATCTCTGGTAAAATTTTTCCGCCCCTTGTGGGAGATGAATGATTTTTTAGATTTAAAAAACTTTCTATAACTGAGACGTTCCACCTCTTTGGTGATGTTCATCTCGACTCTCGGTACGAGATAGCTAAATAGCTGAAGCGCTGGTAAACATTTGGCCACTAAACTAAAATAACTGGCAAATTTCGTCGACTGCTGTCAAATGGTTCCTAAGTGGTAAAATTGAAATCAATTTTAGTGTTTTTTTCAGTTAATGAGCATAATATATGAACCAGTGAAACGTGTATATTTTTAGAAACCATCACAGAATATGGATTTTAACTGTTCAGTCGGTCCATTAGAAAGACCGTTTCATCAAGGCTTTGTGGTAATTGAAATCGACGAGGCCTACTGATTTCTGATACGTTAATGTCTATGTCAGATCGTAGCAAAACATAACATAATTGTGCATCAAGATGCTTGTTTTGAGAACAAGTTGATCTTGCACACGATAAAACGTATTGAGTATATATATTGATGGTTTTCATCATTTGACCTATCGCATATCGCAATGGATTGTTCGACATTGACAACCATAGAAAAATTAGCGTGTATTGTGTTTTTTACACTTTCAGTTGCACTTCAGGAAATGATAACACTTCCATACCAGAAATCTTATTGAATTGGTTAGTGTCGTTCATTAAACCGTGATTAGAAATCTTTATGCGAATGATGGAATTGAGTGCGACAAAAACTCGGTAGTACAGGAACTTAGTTGTAGAGACAGGCTGGTGTCGCTGCGTGTGTGCCTTGTTATCGTCATACGAACAGTCATCGAAATTTATTCTCAAGTGTGAAATTTATTCTCAAGGCTATGTTCCATCAGGGATCGGGGAGACATTTCGCACGATATTCCGGATTACATTCAAAGTATCCATTCTTGGAACTTGCGGAAGCAACACAAGATTGATCAGCACCGATTGTGTCAGATCGGACAGCGCAGCGTGATGTGCCCGGGTGGACCAGAACACAAGTCTACGTGCGAGTATTCTGGACACTATCCATCTGTGTATATAAAATGTTTGTAAAATTCCTCATGAAAAATTCATAGCACGAGATAAAAATTTTGTACTGATTCTTTAAGTATATTAATTTAATATTAAAAGCCTATATCTTGGGTTACTCATTGCGTGTCATTATCGGTGACCAGCGAAAGCAGTGAGCACAGCAATACTGAATCCTGAAACAAAAAGTTTTGCTTTCAACTGATTTAGTGGTTGTGCAGTGACTTATGGATAGTATAATTAAGATAAGTTAGTTCGCTGAATCTTGATTTTGATTGTAAGCTCCTCAATATTCGATGTAGTAATTCAGTTCAAACTCATTACCAGCTATGTGCTATTCATTTTTTAGCGCTAGGTTTGAGTTACCTTGAGGCAGCGGTTTAAATTGCTGATATTGCCGATTAGAGATTCCAAGATTTTATTCATATATTATTGCAAAAATTAGCAAGCTGTATTTTATATTTGGTCGTCACTTGATGGTTGATTTCTAGATTTTCCAGAAACGCGTTAGGTCTCTGTTTGTTGAACTTGGTATTAAATTTGTTTTAGGGGTTAACTTTTTTATTTTGTTTGATTCACTTGGGGAAGTAGCTGGTAAAGAGTGTGAACTGAATAACTACATCGAATATTGAGGAGAGTTGAAGTCGGTGAAGTTGTAATTTTATTTTTAAGTTATTTATTTGACTAAAATAATCCCTGCCGTTTTCTTGCCGTGACATTTTCTTGCTTTCCAATACCGCGATGAACTTAATTTTATAGGAGTATGATGATCACTAACATATTTATTTTTGTTCATGGTACTTGCTTGATTAAAATTGGATATAAACTACGTGATTCAGCGACATTGTATAGTCTCAGTCATTTTTAATATGTGATATATTTAAATTTTGCATAGTGTCATTTCACACGTCACTTGTTGTAGGACTGTTGTCAGCAATTTTTCTGCTTGAGGGTCCGAGCGAATGGGGGGTTTTAAGTAATTCGATATTTCTGTGATTTTATTGGAGGCATGTTAGCCACCGTCACCCATATCTGTAATGAGCCTTGTCGGTAAAGCTGTATGACGCTTGTCGAGACTTGAACATTAAAGCAACATCTTTGCTAATTGCAAGTTTTTTGTTCACGGTAAAAGAACTTCATTAATCTTCATTCATTCAACTAAGTAACATTTTAGAAGACCTGTCAATTGTTTTAGTAATCGGGTATAAATTTTAGGCGTATTGAAGCTACACTGTAGAATAGTTGTGAAATTGAAAATTCAATACTGCATCGTTACTGAATAAATGTATAGTCAATAGCATTTGCTCTTCCGCATCACGAAAAGGAGTTTCACCCGGGCTGCTAAATATTAGATCAAATATCCTTATCCTGTTAATAGTCTTACGCTCAGCCCTACTTCTGAACTGACTAGTAAAAATTTGGGACAAAGCTTACACGTTTGGTTACGATTAGTCGACCATTTGTCTGTTAGCTCTTCAATTTGAGCTTTCCTAAGCAGTAATTTGGTAAGGTAAGCAGCATAGTTTCAGAATAGCTGGTAACAGTAATATGAATGACTCACTGTGTACTTGCACTAATTATACTAGTCCTTTATCGCATTCAGTCGCAGAAACCGGTCAAGCACTACAAAACTGCGTGTTCTCTCGCTGTCCTGGACGAACCTGAAGAATGTCGATCAGGGGAAAACTTTAGATTCTATTTCAAGACATGGTTTTGTCCCAATGGGCCGAGGTAGTTGGCTGCGTGATACTGTTTGAAGTGCGTGATACTGTTGTGTTCCAAATCCGCTATGGAATATAATCAACTACGCACGTGGTCGTTATTTTCTAACTTGCTATCAATCTGTACAGAGCATTGTCAGTACGCTGGAGGCTGCGTATGCAGTTCAAAGAAGGTTTAGTAATTAGATAATTTTTTTATGACCCCTCCATTTTTATTTGACTTCAAAATCAGTAAATATACAAATCAAAGTGCAATACAAATTGGTGGAAAACCTTAAGTGATATCTTTCCGCAATAATTCATTCGCTGTTCTCGATGTTAGCGTCGGTTTCTTCTGGGTCACTGTCCATAGGTTGATTTTCATGAACTACAGCCCTTGTTAAGATTCTGAGCTTCTTTCGGGGGCATTGAATAGGACTTGTTTCTGTTTCGTCGTTATCAGTCGCTTGTTCTTCATGGTCCAAGTCTCTGCTCCTGGTTGTGAAACTTGTCAGAAGAATTTGTCCTGGTGTGACTTTCGGTCTTTGGAGGCGACTAGGTCCAGCGACATCTTCCGCTCTCTCTGCTGTGATGTCCGGCGTCATATATGCATGCATTCTCCGTTGCCGAATGGACGGATGTATTTCAGCTTGTGGAGCTGTAGTAGGAATTGTCATCCCGGGATTGTTATCCCGATCGATGGAAATTGGCTGAAAATCTTCGGGCAGTGCTTTTGGAGTTAGGAGAGATATGTGTACGTTCCTTCTCAGCTTCGGAGCATCCTGGTTCGAGTCTGCGGGGGCGACGGCCAGCTTGAACCAGCCACCTACAATGATGCTGATGTCGGAGTCGACGAAGCTCTTAAATAGCTTTTTCACTCCCTCCCTCACCAGGTCTTGATCTATTTTCTCCGACTGAAAGGTTTTAGAAAAAAAATTACGTAATATCAGGTATGAGCACATGTCGGTTTCTTGGAAGTTTCAACATTTGTAATATCAAATGAACAATAATAAAATCGATACTTATAATCAAGGTATTAATCAGGAATTTAATTCAGGGTTTTCCTCTTTGATGCAATATATGACAAATAGCTTGCTGTGAAAAGACTATTATCAGTAATTTAGGAATTTTTGGCAATTTAATGTCTATTCTAGAGTTGAGGGGTAACTATAGATTCTTCTACACTTAATTTTTAGTTGCCATGCTCAGGAACAAAATTTTCCGTGAATGTCCAGAGGCCATGTTCTCGTAATTATATTCTGGGCCATTGACGCGACGACCACGTCTAACTCTTTCCGTTCAGTTAAGTGAACTTTGATAACGTGAAAACCGTGATAATTCACCTGCAGGACTGTCTTCGAGATCAGCAAATTAGCCAGCGTCTCGCTGCTGAAAGGACATCTGCTGATTTTGTGTCCTTTAATAGTTACGCTGCAGGTTAGCGTGCGATGATCTGTTCGGCCGCCTACGAGAGCTGGGCAAGATTTTCCAGATTTTTCAGGAGATTTTACAGGCACGCTCATATGCAAGGAGTTGCACATGATGGCCGAGCAGGCTGGCGGTAAGCCGACTGTTCCTAGAAGCACGTCACTTGCTTTTACTTCAATCAGGAACGTCATTACTGGTTCCTTGCTCGAGGCAGATCCCAGCACCGTCGACAAACGAATATCCGCGGTATTAGGGGATAGAGCCAATGGAACTAACGAGGTATTGGTGTCCAAGATCGTCAGTTGGTGGATTTTGCCCGCTGATCGCGGCTCGTATACTGCCATCCATTGGCCGATGTAAGGCACATTTGGTGATCTAAATAAATGAAATGCCTCTTCTTCCCTTTCCGCGATTATGTAAAATGCCTCTCCTGTTTTGAGTTCTCTGCAGGAAGAAAATTTATTTTAATCAATCTTTACTTCATTTGCACAATAATTATTGATGCATGGCAATCAGTTTGTACATTCATTCGTTAATTTATCTGTATCAAGTAATGAGGAAGTCACACTTATTGAACAAAATTTGATTTCGGCACATTTTATTTTAGAAAATAGTTTTGAACTGAGCAAGTAATGAAATCATTTCGCGCCGCTACCTCAGTAAGACGAGTCGGTCGTATTTAGCCACAATCTTTCCGTGGCGCAGAAATTGGAGTTTCCGGGAGTTGTCGTGGTACTTCTTGATGGAGAGGATTAATCCATACACGACCCGTTGGTCTTCTTCTTCTGCACATTCTTCGTCTTGTTCTTCTTGACGAAGTTGCAGGAGGCTTGTATATTTGCCTTTTTGCACCACGTAAGTTGCCGCCGCTTGCCAGTTTTCTTCATCGATAAGGTCCTGGACCGTATTCATCTATAAAAAATTAAGAGTGAGCATGGGACATGAGGAGTGGAAGTAAGTTAGGTGATAAATCGGATTTTCCTTCGATGCCCTTATTTATTGATGGATGCTATATCCTGAACGTAGGCATTTCATAATTTAAATTAATTTTTGTTTGGTCCGGCAGAAAATTAGAAAAGAAGAAAGATGGACGATGCTCTATTCAAGTCTTAACTGCTATAGGTAATGCGTGATGCTGGAATGGCCAGGCACAGGTGATCAAAATTGTATTACGACATAACCCAATATGTCTAGCCGTTGTCAGGAACACCGTTGTCTGGTGCTTAACAGCTATGAAAGAGTTTATGCCATCTTTGGAAACGCTTTGTTTTATTCAAGATAAATAGTAGCATGATTTAGTTAATTCAGTACGGAATGAGAGCTAGGGGTAAATTGACTATGTTCTGACTCTGAAATCGAGGCAATTCTACGGTATTTATATTAGCACAGCATATCATTCAGGTTATCAGATTTGTACGACTTTAATAATAGACAGCGATCGGCCAATGCACAATTCAGATTTGCTTACGATGGTGCAGAGGTTGTTCCAAGGTAAAGATGGCAAGACGTCCAAGGCGGCTACGGCAGAGCCGTAATCAAGAGTGGTAATTAACCGAATCTGAAAAACACGACATACTAGGTTAGGTATATAGTACTTTAAGAAGTGCAGTCGAGCGTTGCACTATAAATTAAAGATAATAGAGTGCACCAATTTTATCGAATCGAAGTCACTCTTTACTGAACAAATGTCTGCATTGTTTGCAATTGTGTAGCTGTATAATTGCCAGGTGTTCACAGTAAATTTGACAAGGGTCGTCAGGGTTCATGCATGAATTTGGCAAGATATGCGCTTATTGTCTTATTTTAATTCGATTACATTACATCAAGCCTCAAATGACTCTACAAGTAGCTTACCGTAGTGGTAAAACAGAGTGATGAAGGCAGTAAGGTGTGAATAGAAGAGGTATAGTTACCTATATGAAATTAAACACGCTATCAAGATCTATATTTAGCTACAACAATGATACCACTCAAGAAGGATTCATGTACATTCGTATAATGGGAAATTGTGGGGAAATTCAAACTATGGTACATTGAGCCTCTTACCATGTCAATGAATGAAAGTAAAATAGGTCGCGAAGCCAGATAGGATATCGAGGCTAATACAGGGTTAGACACTAACAGAATTCCAAATTCTGTTCAACCTTGAATCTACGAAATCTGTCGCTTATTCCCGTCGTCAATATAGCAGTGCATGTCATTGACGATTCGATATGTGGAAATTCAACCGTATTAACAATGCTTCATTCTTTGAATGGAGTGAATTACATAAAAGTTTTTAGCATTATTGGATTAAATTACAAAGGCACTGAACGCAGTAACAAGGCGCTGGAGGTAGAGGAACCACTTCAAAGTTGAATCTGGACAGACTTTAACGATAAACAGCAATATATTAACATAAGAACCCAATTACGACTTTGCGCCGGGCTTTTATCATAGATCCGCCGATCATTAACTAGAATTTTGGAAGTAAAGTTTAGAAATTTAGCGAAAATTGCTATCCATGTAAATCTATGGCATTTCTAAACAGAAGCACGTTTGCTTATCTGAATTACAGGACATGCTAGGTAAACGGAAATGCACTATAAAGTGATCACGAATTCCGAAGCACAATTCAGTTCAAATTCAAATTTTAGACATTCCGTGCCGAAAAGTGAGCTAGGGTACATTTACCTCGTGCAGTACTGGCGTAATATTTGTTTCGATAATCTAGATACTCTAAACTTCTTATGAGCGGTAAATAGATGAAGTAATGTGGTATTGTTAATTAAGGTTTCTAGGTACTTCCTGTGAATATCATTTGTAATTCAGAGTTTTACTTGTTATTTGAAATAATATATGGCTAATCTTACATTTTTTGACAGCATTTGTTTGTGAATCATTTCTATAAGACAATTTTTTTGTGCAGATTTCGAGTTGGCGGCTCGGTCTTCGAGGTTTTGTTGGGTTGTGCCCGGTCTGCGAGGCTGCAGTTGCAGTCGTATGTTTTTTCCTTCTGCGAAATCCTTGGACCTGGCCACCGCTCCCTCCTTCTCCCCCCGAGTCTTGGCCTTTGCGGGGGCGACGCCGAGCGACTTTTCCTGACAACTAAGAACAACAACACGCGTGTAAGCAGTAAGTATATTAATTAATCGTTATCATTATCAATTAATTATCATTAATTTGGTTCCGTCCCCCAGGTTTCATTATTTCATGTTCTCTTTGCTATTTTTATGCTATGGCTAATTTAGTACTGGTCGGTTGGTTTACATGAATTTAGCTCGCTAATTGAGGTCAAGATGAATTTTCAGTTGTTTTGAATTATTTTATTAACATCGTTTTCGAAGTGAAGACGTTTGCTGGTGTTGTGTATTTTGTTGGAATTGCTTACATTTGCAGCATTGAAATGGAATAATATTGTTTTTGCAGTTGTGGAGTTGTCGGAGTTCTGCAGTTTTCAAGAAACATTTTAACACGACTATTTTTTATGCAGATGTCAAGTTGCCGGCGCTATAGACGTCTCTGGTGTCGTTTTTCGGGCACGAGGTCTGCGAGTCTTCACGGTCTTGAGACTGGCGTGAGAGGAACCCAATGGCGCAGCTGCCGTAAGTAATATTTGCTTCTAATTGATGTAATTCGCTCTATTCATATTAATCGTATACTTTCTTAAGCCTAAGTAGCCAATGTTATGAGCTCGGTTTTATCGCATGCTTGTTCAAATAGCCAATTTTATGATCTATGTTTCATCGCATCCATGTCAATTTTTTTCGTTGAATAAACATATATTGAGTACATCTGTAGATTAATCAAGGTTATGAGGTACTTCCCGTAATTCAGAGTTTTTCTTATTATTTGAAATAATAGATGGCTAACCTTACCTTTTTTGACAGCATTTGTTTCTGAAACATTTCAATAAGACCACTTTTTTGTGCAGATTTCGTGTTGGCGGCTCGGTCTTCGGGGCTTTGTCGGGTTGTGGACGCAGTCTGAAGAAGAATGGCATTGTACAAGCCTGGAGCATGTCTGCATACAGTGAGTTTAGTCGTGTATGGCTTTGTAATTTTTTTGTTTTCCAGGTCTCACTTTTATTATATGATATTGTCTCTTGTTTTTGCCATAGCCAATTTTGAATCGAATATTCAAGCGATTGGTTTATTTTTCTTTTACTTGATGACTGATGTCGTGTCATATGTTCAGTTATTTAGATTTTTATCTGCTTCATTTATTCTTTTATAGATTGATGTAGAGAAACCTGTGAATTAACCACTACAAGTATGGACAGGTATTTTTTCAATAAGTGTTCTTCATAGTTTTAGGTACGCTTATTTAGTGTTATTTCTTTTTGTAGTATGTCGCTTAATTTTGTCTTGAATACTAATTTATGGAAAGTTGTAAGGAACTTATTTGTTTTTTTTCAGGCGTTGAAAAGTCGGCGTCTTTGCCTGATGAACACGGGACAAAGCTGATGTGACGTCCCGTGCTAACCTTACCTTTTTTGACAGCATTTGCTTATGAATCATTTCTATAAGACCATTTTTTTGTGCAGATCTCGAGTTGGCGGTTCAGCCTTCGAGGCTTTGTCGGGTTTTGGACGCGGTCTGAACACGCAGTCTGCGAGGCTTCAGTTGCAGTCCACGAGGCTGGCACGGCAGGATCCGGCGCACTTGTCGTGAGTACTAGTAGAATTCAAAGTATGGAACTCCCGAGCTGGAAGCAGGTGCTATGAGCAGCTGCTTCCAGCTCTGCACGCCGCAGGCGCTAATCTGCCTTTAGCAGCAGGTAGTAAGCGACGTAGGTCGGCGGCTCGTCAGACGCTAGGACGTGTATTTATTTATATGATAGTGGTTTACACGTATATAAACTAAAAAAAATTAGGTTTGCCCTTGTATCCGAATGGACTTGGATAAGTTTAGTTCTAGGATAAATTTCATTTTTTTAACCGAGTGTTCAATTTGAGATGAATTTGTATTCAATTTTAAAAGCGTCTGCTTGTGCAGGGTCATCTCGGTGTACTCGCCTTAAGCAAAACGAGTCCGAGCAGCGGTGGAAGCAACACGAGTCCGAGATCGGACAGCGCAGGTGCCGCAGCGATTCAGGGCCGCAGCGATCCAGGGCCGCTGCGATGTTAAGGAGATTCAAGTTATTATGAGGCGGCGGTTAGCTTTGACGCCCGGGTGGACCGGAACACGAGTGGCGATCTGTGCTTGAGCGCAGATCGTACCGAGTGCCTGAAATAAAATGGGATCGGAGTTTATGTGTGCGGCCTAGGATGGCTTTGGCTATATTGGATTGCAGTCCAGACCGATTCTTTGAGAGAACCGTTATTTTGGGATAAATGACCTAAACATTTTCGTGAAGACTTTTATGCATTAAAGTATCATAAAAATATGTTAAGAGTGTAGGGGTAAAAATAATCTCACTATGATATTAGGTGTTTCATTCATTATTGGATGATTACTTGAGATGTAATTACTGAACTTAAGCTATTGTTTAGGAAACAAGCAAAGGAAATATGCTTTAATAAAATTGATATGAAATCTTGTCCCGCAAACATTTTACTGTAATTTTCATTTGCGAAATGATTTCGTTACCAAAAAGACCACACAATAAACAATATCTATCTACCACTCACTGGCCACCATCTGCCAGATGATGTTGAGCGCCACAGTCCTGATATGTAATATGTGATGTATTTAAATTTTATATAGTGTCATTTCACACGTCACCTGTTGTAGGACTGTTGTCAGCAATTTTTCTGCTTTAGGGTCCGAGCGATTGGAGGAAACAAGTGGCTATACAGAACAGTCTAGACTAAGGGTGGACCAGACTAGTCTGGCAGCACTTACAGTGTAGTACCGAGTACCCGAAAATTGAAGGCTAAGCAATGAATGAACTATTCTTTATCAATGATGATAATCCTTAACTATTCTTAATTATTGATATTAAATGCAATTTTCGTCCTTAGAATTTGCAATATGTATCTAAACTGGAAGTATAATTCCTTTCTTGTGAGTCCTCTAGGTTTTGTCGCCATATTTTACTATGCTATAAATTTTATGTTTGCTTGAATCTGAGCAAGAATGTATGCATCGTTTTTTTTGTGTGCAATTATATGTTTGCCACATTTCGACTGCAGCGCGATGGTAATCGATTTGCTAATGCGCTCTGGGTGTTTAAGAATAGTCTGCAGTGCAGATGGTTGCATTATGGATTGGAGCGGAAGCGCTGGCATCTTATTTGATTTCAGAATTGTAACCGTTTTTTCCTCGAAATTAAAAATTTATACGGTATTTTCTAGGGCTATCTTGTTACGGAGTACTCTTCAGGGGGTACTTCAAGATATATATTTTTGTTCCCGGTATATGCTGAATTAAAATTTGATATAAATTACGTGATTCTGCGCCATTCTTAAGTTGCAGTCATACATAATATAATATGTATAATATTTGATGTTTATGCTAGGGTGTGTCAAGATTAGCTGGTTGAATATACGCATTTGTTTTCAGTCTCAGCTCCTATTAACCTTTATCGAAATTTCCCACTAGCTGTATTCTTTGTAAGACCTGTAGCCCAAGCGCC